GGGGTCTGGTCCCACCTGTGTTGTTGAGAAAACTCAACGCGGAGTTTTCTACGACGAGCGACAATGTTCGACAGGATGTGGCCGTCGACAGGGCTGCGATCCCACGGTTGGAAGTATTTCAAAATGTTGATGTCCTACCGGGTGATTTGAATGATTTTATTTTTTTTATAAGGACTTCGAATGGACTCCCGCAATGGAGGGAAGGCGGCATGGGAAAGCGCCACGGAGTTGAGAAAGCTACCCTCCACGGTCGAGGGTAGGTTTCTCAACATGGTCGATGAGAAATTTTGCGATTTTTGGGATTTTTAGTCGCCGTCTGCTGTTCCCCGTTTCTCGTATACTGTGTCAGGCACTTCGTCAGTGCAATGAAAGCCATAACTGTCGTGCGTGGGCTCTATAAGGCCTCGCTCCGTTGCTCACCACATGCACAAACAAAAGAAAAAAGAAAGTCGATGTATGTTTCCGTGTTCTTGCCTATATTCATTGCTCTTTGGACCCACTTCAACGTCCTCGTGTTTCCACATCATGGGGCCTCGCTGCACTACTCTCGACATGCACAAAAGACAAAAATCATGGCAGTGCATCTTTCCATATTCTAGGGAAAGATTCACTCTCGTTTTGCACATTTCGAGAGTAGTGCAGCGAGGCCCAGGGTTACCTGACTGAACGTTCGGGGGCCCCTGGGCTGGCCCCCGAACGTTCGGGCGTTCGGGGTCACGTTCGGGGTCCGAACACCTCCAGGTTCGGCCCCCGCCAAAACCTATTTCGGGGCCTAAAAATAAGTTTTTTTTTCTGAATTGTTTTTTGTGAGTTCTCTATGATGTAACCTACATGCCTATAAATTTTGACGCCATTCTGCTAAGCCAAAAAAACATTAAAAATCATCAAAGATGTTGGTGTCAAAACGTGCTCGCCCACTCACTATTTTGTTTTTTTTCACTTTTAACTTTTTGTTTTCACTTTATTTCGGGGCCTAAACCATTTTATTATTTTTTGAAAAAGTTTTAACGAGTTATTGATTACGTAAACTACATATCTGTACATTTTCAGGGCATTTGTCAATGCCAAAAAATAATAAAAAATCGACAAAGATGGCGGTGTCGAAAAGGTGCGGGCACACTCACTCATTTTAATTCTCTTTTTATTTTTTCTTATTTTTATCATAGTGTTTATTTTCGGTATTGGAGTTTTAATTCAAATTTAGTAAAGAATTTGGATGTAGTGCCCAGGCAAATGTTGTTTAGTTTATTTGTCTCCATAACATAGTTTTTTTTTGGAATTTTTTGAAAACTTTGTTTTTTTTTTTTGTTTTTTTTTTTTGGGTCCGCATTCGGCCCGAACGGCCGAACGCCTCCCGAAGGGGTCCCGTACGTTCGGGCGTTCGGGTTCGGGCGTTCGGCCCGTCCCAAACGCCGGTAACCCTGGCGAGGCCCATATGGTACTTCAAGATACGCAGAATCCTCGACAGAAACCACTATTTTCGCATCATTTTCTTGAGGTTTCTCAACTCAACGGCCGTAGGTGGGACCAGACCCCTGGTAGCCTAGTGAAAATATCAAAAATAATAATAATAATTTTGAAAAAATAAATTATGGTTAAATTTCTTCGAAGCTAGGCTACCAGCCGGGCGGCCCGGGTCCCGGGTGGCCAGCCCGTGCAAGGACCAAGAATTAATTAATTTTACGTATTTTGAATTACGAAAAAAAAAAATGTCGAAAAAAAAAAATTAAT